AAAGTGAGAAGGGGTGGCTTTTGGGCTACCGCTAAGTGGGAGATTGGCCCCTAGGGGTGCCGATTCGGTTGAATGGGTGAGTGGGGCTGGCCTTGGGGCCACCCTTGTGTGGGAGACCGGCAGCCAGGGCACTTGTCTGAGTGTGGGTGGGGAGATCAATGGCCATGCCACTAGTGTGAGTGGTGCTAGTGTGGGGGGTGGCCTTGTGGCCACCCAAGTGAGAGTAATGTTTAAAAAATGGATATGTGACTCGAATCGTCCACACCATACTTTTGTCGGATCGGTGAATCAAATCAGAGAATCGGACGAGTCGACAAATTTTGTCTCAATTTTTTTCAAAAAATCAATATAAATCTCTAAAAATAGTGTTCTTTTAGTTTTTGAAAGAAATTAAGAGTAGTGCATTATGCACTCTCATTACTTTGTAAAAATAAGTGAATAGTAAGATGTTGTTTCATGTCTGGATGCCTATATAATTATTAAGGATTATGTTAGGGTGCTCATACTATGGAGTAATTTATCCTCATACACAACAAATTTTAGACACTTTTATACCCTTATTTTGCATATGGAGTATTTTTTTAATATGGGTATTTTTTGTCATTAGGATAGGTAACTAGTACAGATAATATACTAAGAGTTAATAATAGTGAAGAAAGCAATAATAAATAATGTAGAAAAACATATTCAAGACTAGAACATTCCAAAGGTCTCAGTTTATGATGTAGATATAAGAAAGGATCTTGTGATTTTAAAAGTGATTATTCTATTAAAACAGTGGAAAAAAACAAATTTTGTCATGGAAATACATGATAAATTTCATTTTCTATCCAAATCCACTTTGGAAGAACATAAAAGAAAAAAGTTTAACTATTTACATATCCCGGTAGTCATAAAACATCTTACTAGGACAAGATTAAATAATTATGTTCTATTATGCCTTAGGGATAGTAGACATAAAAGGTTCACATATTCCTTATTAGGAATTGTACAATCCAGTTTATGTGAATGACCAATATACTTTGATTGCTATCCAAATTTTTCTGTAGCCCTCTCCGATCCATATATATTAAAAGCCCTAGCCTTAAACCTCAAGACTGAAGGGTTTGACATGGAACATGGATCACAGAATTTGGTTATAATTTATAGAATATGCTATAAAGTAATGACTACTTTATGTCCTGATGCTAAAAGAATAGACAATAGGGGACAAACAATATTTTTTTAGACAAATAATGAAAAATCATATCTAGTGATACCTAAAATGGTATCAGAACAGTACACTCTACGGTTCAACCTAAACCCCTAGAGAATAAAGATGTAGGACAAATAATAGAATATTCGTACGGAGAAGTTAAAATCCAATTTTTAACTGCTAGGAAAACAAGAATAAGCATAGCTAGAAACCCTCATAGGATACTAGCAAGAAATTCATATTCTTCCATTCTTCAGATGAAATATGAGAAGGATCATGAAAGAATAATATTAGAAGGATCGAGAAAACCCACTGAACAGGTAAGGCAACCTTATTATAGGGTTGATACCCTAGGCTCTTCCCATAGAACAAATCAAGAACTTATGGAATCTACCTTCTCGGATGTAGAATTCCAAATGAATGTCATGCAAGAAGATAAAGAATTTATAATAGATAAGGAAGGTCTTAAAAGAGACTTTTACTCTGATCAAAATAACGAATTAAGAGAATGGTTTATGAATGAATTTAATGAAAAACTATGGATAAAATTCTATAAAAAATATTATGATTTTATATTAAAAAATAAATTTAATATTCGATTTTTAAATGGTTTGAGTGGTTCTGCAAAATGTATAAAATTACATTCTGGACTTTTCTAGAAAAGAAAAGGAAATAAATACGGTTGAAAATGCTTTTCAAACTTTTACAACTAAAGAGGGGAAATGTATTCAGTCTATACATCTACCTGAGATTGATGTGGATGTAAAAGGCGTAAAAGTATCTCCTTATAAAATTGAACCCAAAATGTTAGACTCACTTGTTAATATTGAAAGTATAAGCCATCTTATAACTTATATCTATAATCCCTAGGTAGATAGACAACAAGGACTAAAAACCTCCTTAATAAGAAGAATACTAAAAAAGAAATGGGAAAAGAACCCGTAATGTTCAAACCTCTCCCGAGTATGAATAAATACACTTTTAAACTACATCCTGACAATAAACAAAATAATGAATTTATAGATGACCTGGTCAGTAGGTTAGCTAAGATGAACCTTTAAAAAGACCCAACAACTTCTGGAAAATGCAAACGCCAAGTTAATATACTCTGAAAGGATGGCCATAGTTATTCGAAAGAAGAATTAAACCAGTTAGAACAAATTTTTAGTAATACTGAAGTACATGATTTCAAGATAAATAGGATTTCCTATAGGAGAAAGACGATTCCGACGGCCCCTACAAAAATGTGTTATACTAGACCAACCCCAATAGACTTTTAGATTGAAGGAAATTATATAAATAAGGTAGCCCAATATGGCGGTAGATCTATTGTTGAATGAAATATAGACGGAATGTCTGAATACCAGGTAATCGCCCTGATGAAGCATATGATAATGTATGCTACAACTTCAAAACAAAATGATAATAAAGACTCTAACATTGCCAAAGCTATAGTCTGTAGTTTTACAGACTAATTAAGAGGTGGGTGAGACTTCTACTTAGGAGATAATGATAAAAACCAATTTATAAGAGCCAAGAAAAAATATAGTGTATGGATTGAAACTAGCCCAGAGGTTAAATATGAAGTTCCAATAGAAGAAGAGGATGCAATTAATACCCTAATCTATACTATCACCCTACATTTTATAGGAAGTACCATATTACAGATGGACAGATCCAAGGAATTACTTACAAATTTAAGGTGTCCAACCCTGTCATTTTAAGTGGTACAAAGATGTATTTTGGTCAAAACTCTTAACTAGAGAAGACTCTAAGGCAAATTATTGGAAAGAAAAATTTATCGAATGTCTCCCTTACCTATTTTCTGAAAAGGTAAAAACCATATTTAAAAACAAAAATAATGGAGTAATACCCCACTATGCAACACTTTATGGTGAGTTAGTAGCATAAAGTTTTGTAGAAGGCTTAGCCTTGTGTACAAATTTAAGATTAAAGAGACAATCAGAAAAAGAAAAAATGTCTGGGAAAAAAGAGTTCAGAGATTTCTGCAAACAATTTGGATATAATGCTTTATCGTCTTCCCAGCCTAAAAAAAAATTACATGCGAAAGAGAAGATTTATATGAAAAGGAAATATTTTGGCAAGAAAACACAAAATCCTTTTAATGAGAATAAAATGAATAAATATTATAAAAGAAATAAAAAGAAAATCCCAATATATTTCAATTGTGGAAAAGTAGGGCATTATAAAAATAAATGCCGCACTAAGAAACAAGTTAATGCTCTAGATATAGAGGAAGATTTAAAGAAGCATTCATGTCAAATCTTCTTAAAAAATCCAGACAGTTCCTCTGAAGAATCCTCGGATGATGATAAAAATGAATTGTTTATAGGAACCATTGAAGACGAACATTTAGTAATGACCAGTTCCCATTCTGACTCTGATTCTGATTTAGAATAAGTGAAGATTAATAAAAATCAATGTAAATGTGACCATTATAAATGAATCCTAACTATGCGTGGGTTAGGAGTAAAAGTTATTACTAGAGAAGAAAATCTTATCTTAAACTGATTGACAAAATTGAAGATCAGCACACAAGAAAAGAAGCATTGTACCAATATATTAATATGACAAAAGAAAACCCTCAAACTAGGGAAATAAAAAATTTCAATAAGCCTTCTCAAGAGACATATAGTTTTAAAACCATAATGCAAAGAATACAAGATAAAACCTAAGTAAGAATACTATACTTTTTAAATTTCATTTCACTTAAGTACCTTATTAAAAAATATTTTAAAAATAATCAAATTGTCTTTATTCAAGATTGGAAACTCTGATCAACTAGGGGACTTTTAATAATTTGAACCACCTTGAACAAGCCCATGCACTCCCATCATTTGGTTGGAGCCTCTTAGGTGAGTCAACTACCCCAATGCCTTCACTTGTTTAGGGTTCCCAACCTTTTACACCGGCATTTAAGCATTTTTAAAACATATATTTTTTGAAAAAGTACCTGAAATAAAAAATTGAAAGCAAGCACTCCTTTGTAAATTGAGATTCTTTGATCCCTTTTACGATTTTATAAGGGTTTGACCTCATATTTTTCTTTTCCAAGACACTTTATTTGCACTTCTAACATTATTTTATAACGAACCTGGAAACTCAAATCTGATAGAAATAGCGGATGTTATTTATTATGCAAAGTCCTTTTGTTGCCATGACTCCCTCTACCTTTATAAAAAGCCAAGGCCATAGGATTATGGTAGCTGTTATCACGTTATAACGGCTGGTCTAAACTCTAAACCATTATAACTGAAAATAATGGTCGTTACAAAGGAAACTTAACCCTGCCCATGATGTATATAAACTAAAGGGTCGCGTTAGTCATATAAAACACGTTCTGTGATAACTGATGCCATTTTCGATATAACAGTTTTTATATAACAGCATACCTTTCCTTGCATTGAATTCTAACTTTCAACAGAACAATAATCTTGAAACATCAATAAAGTAAATAACAGCCTTGATAAAGAAAAGAAAATATCCCTTTTGCAAAAAAATAATATTATTTTACATATTACTCCATGTTTTCAGTTTTTTTGTTTCATTACTTTCCCTATTTTGCAGTTTTCTTCGATTTCAAATCATTTTCCGTTTTTGGAAATTTTTTTTTTTTTCATAACCGCCCTTGCTGTTATAAAATGTTAAGGATGAATCCCGTTTTCTTGTGCTCAAAGCCGTTACCGTTATTTGACTTAGGTCCCTGGCAAATATCGTAACGGTCTTTTCAAACTTGATAGATATGGTCCAATTCTTGAATCCTGAAAAAACAAAGACCTGTGGCGCGCGGTTTGGTAGTGGATACGGTAATGGCGTCCATGGGCTGCATTCTCTCTCCTACTCTTCTCTCTCTAAAAACCCTAAAAACCACCTGCTCTGCTCCCTCTCTCCTCCTCACTTTCCGTGCTCGCAAGCCTCTGAAAACCAAGGTATGACAACCCATTGATAAACTCTCTCACTTTTTCGTGGAGAAATGTCTGTTTGTATTAATGTTAATATCTTGTTAATGGGCAAAAACCAGAACCTCGGAGGATTGGCGACAATTTCCTTGAAAAATGACTTTATGTGTTTGTGGTAGTATCTTCTTAGTGGGTGAAAACGAAAACCTCGGAGGGTTGGCAACACTTCTGACTGGTGTGTACGTAGTTTTCGCAGAATTGGATCCTGGGGAGTTTTGTTTTCAAAATTGCTCGCCTGAGGATTGAGTTTTGAGTCTCGCGCAAATGTGTTTGATGGAAACTTGGTGTGTTTGAGAAATTTAAAAAATCTGGTGAAAAATAGGTATCAATTTCCTGGATGAACTGATTCTAGTTTTTGCTCAGTTAATGGTTTTTAGTAACTCCCTTTTGAACGAGCCCTAAATTCTGTTGAACTCTTGTAGTCCGACCAACAGGGCCTTAGCCTTAGCTTCAGTGGCATTGTTCACCAGAATGTTGGCTTTTGAAAGATGTCTGCAATGCCGGCCAGGCCTCCTTTGCCAATGGTGCCGCCATCAAAATTTGGTCGACAGCTAGGAGGAGGACTTAAGATTTTTGTGGTCTGTAGTCCAAAATAGGGCAGTGGCCTTCATGTGTAGGGGACCAGATCATCTGGTCTTGCCCTACTCTGGGAATGAAGTGCGAATCTAGCTGGTTTCGCAAGGACAACATTCTGAATCTAGGAGTTAAAGATTCCTTCTATAACCAGGGGGCACCAAATGGTGTGTCCTCCAATTTCTTCACAATTACTCGATACTAGAACTTCCTCGTTTTTAGTAATGATGAAGAGATTAGAGAGGACAAGTACTATGGTTTTGTTTCCCACCTGCAAGTCCTTTCAAAGCCTAATTTCATCACTCATTATAACTTGGAATCGAATTTGGGAAGAGAAATCAGTACATGTACTAGCAATGGCTTTACAGGTCCTAGAGGCATGTGGATCGGCTGAACCCCTTGGGAGTCAACCAGAACATCTGAACATACCTGTGCCTAATCTCCTGCTGCAGCAGGTGGCCTTCTTGAGTGGCGTAGTGCCACCACTTCTGATACGCTTGCCTTGTTCCATATTTTGAATATGTAAGAAGTTGTTCAGGTGAATATCTTGCTTGGTGTCAGGAGATATTCAATTTGAATAAGTACATTCAAATGTTTGAATAAGTAGATTCACATTCTCAAAAGAAAAATAAGTAGATTCAAATGTTTGAATAAGTAGAGGCCGTTAGGTGAATAAGATAATTTTGTCATATTTTCTTCTAAGGTCCCTCATTGTCTTGTAGTCTTTGGAAAAATATTGGAGATTTTTCTGATTTTCTGTGACAGTAGAAGAAACACCAACCAATGGGACTAATAATGGAAGTGCTGACCAGATGAAGACAGTGTGAGTAGATTTTCCCCGTTTTGATGGTGAAGATCCTACCGGCTAGATTTGTTGAGCCGAGTAATTTGGTGAACATAACAATATTCAAGAAGAACAAAAGGTTTTAGTGGCATTTTTTCATCCCGAAAAAGAGGCCATACAATGGTATCATTGGCTAAAAAGGGCCAAGGGACCATCATCTTGGGAGTAATTTGCAAAGGCATTATGTTCATGATTTGGACCGTCTTAGTTTGAAGATTTTGGTGGTGCAAACCACATTGGTTTGCGAGTATCATACACGATTTGGGAGGCTACCTAATCGGACCTTTTGGTTGTTAGAGGAGTTTCTCATCAGTGATGAGGTCCAGTATGACGTTCATATGCTAAAGCCTCAAACATTGGTCACAGCTATGGGTCTTGGGCGATTGCAAGACAATAAGTTGGAATACCAATGGGTATCCCAGCAAGGGCAGAATAAAGTCACCGCCAGACAACTTACAAATTTTAGCTTGGCCTCAACACCTAAGTCCAGAATCCCACCCCTTAGGTATCTTACTCTAGTGGAGATGAAACAACGACATGACAAGGGTTTATTTTACAACTGCGATGAGAAGTACAACGCATGACATCATTGCAAATCCCAACAATTATTTTTGATGGAGGAGAATTGGTTGGATGAAGGGGAAAAATTAAGGGGAGATAGTTGTGGAGTTAGGAAATTAGTATGGCTTCAAGGATGCAACTTGGTAGCATCTCTATTAAGCTAGAATAATAATCTCTACACAACCTTGAGGACGAGGTCGATTTTATTTGGGGGGGGGGGGGAATAATGTGGTTGCATTGTTCCATATTTTGAATATGTAATAAATTTGTTAGGGGAAATCTTGCTAGATGTTAGGAGATATTTAGTTTGAATAAGTAGATTCAATTTTTTGAATAAGTAGATTCAAATGATTTGAGTAAGTAGAGGTTGTTAGAAGAATAAGATATCCTAACATTTAGTTTGAATAAGTAGATTCAAATGATTTGAGTAAGTAGAGGTTTTTAGGAGAATAAGATATTTGGTTTATATTTTCTATTAAGGTTAAGTTTATATTTCTATTAAGGTCCCTTATTAGTGGGAAAATAAGAGAATAAGAGGTGTCTTGTAGTTATTGGAAAAATAATGATGGTTTTTATTATTTGGGGCAACCTGAAGAAGGCCTTCTTCCTCCCTTGAAGTGGGCTTTTATCTCTTTTTCTTCCGGTTTTATCTCTGATTTTCTGTGGAAAATCTCTGTTCTTATCAACTTTCCAATGTGTGTTGAGCTGCAGTCCTTGACATTTTTGATCCCTAAGTCCCACATTCTTACCTGTTTGTAGATGGTCTTGTATTTGATCATCTATGCTACATGTGTTCCACTAGCACAATTTCACTCAGTTCATCATGAGGCTTTCGAGTTTATTTTCTATGGATATCAGCATCCATAAAATGGACATTTGAAATGACGAGGTGTTTGAGAAGGTGGATTTGATTAGTGTTTTGTGCCCTCCAAAAGACAAGAATTTTCCCTTTTACTTCGCTGGTCTATTATCAAAGCTCTCTATCACCCTGTCCCCTTGGTGTTTGCTAGGTTTTCCAAGATTCAGAGGATGCCCCATGTATTTTTCATAGGATATTAATCATACACCCCCACCTTTGGCTAGGAGGACACTTGAAAGGGGCATGGCCACCTCAATTAATATTTTGAGGTTGGCTGCCAGTTCGAGTCACCTAGGAAACAACCATAGGGTATTGACCATAGTTGTTGGGATCGGAAGCGGGAATGGTACCGGGATCGGGATAGAGAGCGAGGGATCGTGAAATGCTAGAAGATCCCTATGGTTGGGATTTGGGAACACTGTCCGTACAATACACATGTTAGGGATCGAGATTCCCAAATGTTAGGGATCGAGATTCCAACCTTTTGGGGATCTTGATCCCAACTTTTGGGGATCTTGTTACCATCCTTAAAGTGTATGATAATCAAGGATTATGTATACTCTTTAAAGTAAGGATCTCATTATTTATAGCAAGCAAGCAATATTTGTGTTGCTAGTTGGCTATGAACAAAGAAAATCATCAGTTTGGTTGTTGTCTCAGTCTTTAAGGTTGTGATCGAGATCCCTAACAACAAGAATCGGGATCCTTATCTTTGGGTTACGAGATCCCAAAATTTAAAATTCGAGATCCCTTAGAGATCCATTCCAGGAGCGACAGAATCGAGATTCTAGAAGGGATCGCCTGCCAGGAGATCCCGGTAGCTATGGTATTGACTTGAGATGTGTCTGCATCCCAGAAGACAAGCATGTCATCTTCAATACGCAGATGAGTAATTGGAGGACTACTTCTCATTGAGAAGCTTGAGCCAACATTGATTGTACAATCTACTGAAGATCTTTGTTAAGATGGCGAAAGAGGAAGAAGGATAAGTGGTCTCTTTGGCCTAGGTCTCTCATTTCCTTTTTTTTGTTTTTTTGGGTGGCGGGAGGGGGAGTTTGTGTGGGGAGAAAATCATTAGGACGACTGTTATTAGGATAGAGAAGTAGGGGGATGATATGTAGCCTTTGATTCTCCTTTTGTCCCAAATCTGATGATACCCGTGACCTCCTCGAGGATCCTCTAATCCACATGATCATAAGCTTTCTCTAAGCTGAACTTAAGGATAGGCCAGGGATAAATTGCTTGGTATTTAGTGTGGGTGCACTCGTGTGTACTCACGGCTTGAACAAACACACCTTGTGGGGTCAAGATAGCATGGTTCAATATTTGAAGTGATCATGATAAGCTCTTTCACAATAATTTTGAAGAGTTATTTATAAGGCCTATCTGGTCTAGATCCTTTAACTCTTATGCTCCCGGCTTTGGGATTAGTGTGAGGAAGGTAGCATTCATCCCCCTGTGGATGATTCCTTATGACTCTGTCAGCTGGACATCTGGGGCAAGGGAGTCCAAGAATTTGTGGAAAGAGGGCAAACAGAAAGCTGCGATCCAGGAGCTTTCTCATGCTGGAGATTGGTCATGAGTCATGACCTTCTGAATTTTGAATTATGAGAAAGGGCATTCTGGCCTGCTGTACTCCTTATTGATGCGTTTGGAAATTTAGGCTGTCAATCTTCGATCTGGATTAAAGCTTTAGTGATAACCATATTTTTGAGGTAGGCACTTATGATTTGGTTTACACCTCCAACACTTTGAAGATTTGTATGAAGAATGGTGCTGTTTCGTTGCCGACAGTTTGCTGTCTTGTTAAATAAGGCGGTGTTATAATTGCCTTCAATCATTTACTTCATCTGTCCTTGGACCGAGAGGAATTCGGTCTCCTTCTCTCATTGGGTATTAGATATGCATGCTGTTTCTGCAGTTAGGTTGAGATTCATAATTTCCTTGAGAAAGCATCCTTTTTCATCATGAGATGCCCAAACTCCTGTTGATTCCATTGCTTTAGCTTGTTCTTGTGTAGTTGGAGCTTCTTATAGAGTGTGAAGCCGGCCCTCACTGAGGCAAATAATCACCGAAGGGGTATTAGTCGGTTGTGGTCACCATGTTCCAAATACATTTGTATGAGGCAAAAAGGCCGTGGTCTGACAGCGATGGTTTTGATATCAAGGAGAATGGGGTTTGTGTGAAGACCTAGGAGAATATTGTTCTTCTCAAAGGAAATTAGAAATTATCTAGTTTAGTGAGGGTGGGGGAGTCTTAAGGATTTGAATAAGAGAAGGTGTCACCGTTTTGGGGAAGATCAGAAAGGTGGACATGTTGGCCATGATACGGCTGCCTTCGTGTTTCATGAAAGACTGTTTGGTGATATTGAAGTCTCCTATGATGCACATAGGGGTTGGTTTAGGGCCATGATGTGGTCATGCTGGGCCCAAAACTAGGTCTCAGTTATAGTTGTTGGAAATGCCTGTGATTTCGAATTGTTTCAGGGATCGAAACTACGGAATTGCAGGTGGACAAATGATTTCTTTTGTTGAAGTCATCGTCCAAACAATGCATGAAGCATGATTCCTACCATTTGGGAATCACGCTTTGATCCAATAGGAATCGAGATTCTTACATTGTTGGAGTCATGGTCCCATCAACTTGAAATTGAGAATCCTTAAAAAAAAAATAAAGGGAGTCAGTGGGGATTTGGGCCCCTACCGTTTGGTGAGAATAGAGTCAGAGACTTCATCATAGGGCTCCATGGTACTACCGCCAAGGCCTTAGCCCATTCTCTAAAATTGAGAATCCTATTTATAGGAATCACGGACTAAACCACTCAGAACTAGACTAGAATTTTTTAAGAAAAGAGCTCTGAAAAGGCAAAAGACTTAAGATTTTAGGTTATTTATACGCGAGAATTCCTTAATATTGGACTCCATATATTTTTCTTCTATAATTGGACTTGATGTCTTTGACAGCCCTCTCCTTTATTGGGTCGCCTTTATCACATTTCTCCATGAGTATTAGGAACAAGGCTGAGTACCCTTAACTAAGTACTTTCCCAGCATTTTTAGATTGAATAAAAAAATAAATTACTTTATTTATTAATAATGCATTTGTAAAAAAATATGACATTTATTACAAATTCTTGAAATTTTGGAATGATGTAAACTAGAGTTTGTTGACATGTATAGAGTTTTTAGATATCCATCATATATTAATTATTAGTAAAATTTTAAGGAACAAGCTGGTGAGGGAAGAAGGAATTTCCACTTGTAGGGTTTCCTCACCCATATCAAGCTGGTGAGGGAGAGGTATTGGGGGTTGCTGTTTGTTTCACTAATTGTTAGAATTTTTGGGTGGTATTTTGCGGAGTACTTGATGTCAGACTTTTCTTGATGGGTTCGTCCAAGCTCTGAATATTCCAAGTAAGTATCGCCATTTGAGGAAGCGGATTGTGTTGGGTTGACACTCAGAGGAGTGCGTGCGGGGTTGGTTAGAGATTTTTTTTTTTTTTTTTGGGGAAAGGTGCAGATTAATTTAGGAGGACCAGATATGGAGGATTCTGTTTTTTTGGTAATTTATGTGTCAGTCTAGGTTCTAAACTCTCTTCCCTTTCCTCCTCTTCTTCGCTTCGTGGTACTTTTATGCTTTGGTTACATCTCTGTGTGAGCGTGTGTCTGTGTGGTGGGGGGGGGGGGTGGTGCGTGTGTTTGTGCGCGTGTGCGTGTGTGTACTCTTTCATTATGTAATGTGCATTGCGTGTGAATTTTAGCTTCCTAGTTTTAAAATTTAGCCCCTATGTTAACAAAATTTTTGTTTTGCATTCTTTATCTCATTGTAGAGATATATTGGACTATAAAAGAAACTAATTTGAGAATTTATAAACTAAAATCTTGTTGAGCACTTGAAAAAAAAATTCTTGTGTCTAGGTTTGTTGATCATTTGATTCAAAGGTGTGCATATGAGTATGTTGCTCCCTTAGTAGGTTTGGAAGCTATCATTGAGGTGTGTTTGTTCGTTCTAAACTCTAAAGTCTGTTTCTTTAACAAAACATTAAGGAGAATGTTGGATTTGGCTAACTATGAGATGAATCAAGAGTAGATATTCTTTTTTGGATTCTAACAATACCTTTTATTAAAAAAAGAAAGAAAAGCCGAACTACCAAACTACAAATGGCATGGAAACATGATTCATCTCTCTAGAAAACAATGTATCTTTCTAAGATAAGGTATTTAAAGGTTCTCATACTCTTTCGCACTAGTATCTAGTATCATGGAAATCCAATCCTACCGGTTGCATAGAAACATGGATTGTGACAACAACGGACATTTGTAGCGGGTATCCAAAAGTTCTCACACCCTTTTGTACTGATACCAATATTGCGTACTAGTGCCGTTATTTGGGGTAGTACTTGGTAACTCGTACCTAGTACTGAAGCTTATCTGAGAGTATCACACATTCCACTGATCTTGTAGTTGAAAGGAGTGGCTATGTAAACTCAAGGTAGTGAATTAAAACTTTTTTCTTTTTCTTTTTCTTTTATTCAATGTAGCTGAATTCCACTTACATGGGTTACTATACACTGCTGTAAATCAAAACTAAAATCCTAAATACAACCTAGGATGTTTATTTTCATTGGCAAAACAAATAAATATTATCCAAGAGCAATAACCGATCTTCCACTATAATTTAGGTACAAAATATGTTCCTGAAAAGTTTCAGAAAATATAAAAATCACAAAAATATTTCTAATACCAAAAATAAAATATTTAGAAGTGGGTTGATACCATCGACTCAAAATTAGTGACAATGAGGACACTTTTTGACCCAAACCATGATCCACTATTGTTTTCTCATCCAACCCAACAAAGACCCACAGTCTCAATGTAGGGGCTCATGATTGGCTTGTCAAATCGTTAATAAATAACGGAACGATGATCTTGGAATGTGCATTTCAGTCCCCCTTTAAGAGTAAGTCTAACACTTGTCACTATAGTGCAAAGGGGGCTCTCTCTATGCACTATACATGTGTCCTTCTATAGGGCTGCTTCTAAGTAATGTGGCTATCATGTACATTCCGTAGCAAAAGTTTGTTGAGGCTTCGGCCCTTGCTCTCACAGGCCTACAACCGCACATCGGAGACTACACATTTCTCTTGGCCTGCAAACATCATCCCTGGGCATCTCTCCGACTTCAACAAGGGATGACTCTTTGCAAACCCTTCTCGGTAGTGCCACGTGCTCAGAGGTAAGGTTTTGGATATAACCTGAGCCATAAACCTCCCAACCTATAGTTAGTCAACACACATTAGTGCATATTCCACTATAAAGTATCATTTTTACAAGTTTTCTTAGCCTTTAAAGAGCACAAAACCCAACAGTAGTTACCTAAAATTGTACTCAAGTTATTATTTCTTCTTCTTGATGATGTTGTCTGAGGTTCCTTTAGTTGTTATAATTTTCACATGCACATCTTATAGAGCATCTTACGTAACAGTTAGTTTTGTTTGTAGTGTGCAGTGATACTTTAATTGAGGTAAATGAACTATGGAACTTCTATAATTAGAATTTCTAGATCTTATCCCAACATTTTATTTGTTTGTAATGAATGGAGCGTAATTTTTCTTTTGTAGATAATCCAGGGGAGATCCACAAAATTCACGGAGACTTTAAAAATTGTTAACAAGCCGAAAAGCAGACATATTCAATCAAGTGGAGAAAAGGGGTTCAAGTTTTTCTTGAGAAATTTCAAGTACATCTCAATATTTCAGCCATTATGGAAGTGCCAATACTTTGTGCTGCAGTTTTGGTCGATGCTTGACTCCAAAAAAATGAAATTCAGCAGTCATTTTATTGCTCTTCCAAAACTAAGGAAATTTAGAGAGATGGTCTACAATAGTTTCTCAAAAATTGTTGCTCGATCAATAATATACTTGATGATCATAATGTTAGTATCCGTTGCTGTCAGCAAAAATCCATCATGTAAGTACTTTACACTAAGTTTTAAGAGTCTTTTAAAATGCACCATATATATATATAAGAAGAGACTACACAACGGCTATAGATGAAATGCTACAGTGATTTCGCCTATAGGCTCATCATCGTCGAAAAAAATCAGACAGCGTGGATAAAACGACTGCCACGAACCTAGCATGTCTGAGACGGTTATGTCTGTGATGGTAAAAAATTCACACGGAAGCGTTACAGACATTGCGCCATCCGTTCAATAAACCGCCACGAACATAGCAAGTCCGTGGTGGGGCGAAACATATTCATTTTCGCCTATAGGTCTTTTTAAGAATTTTCCATATATATATATATATATATATATATTGGGAGTGATTTCATGCAACGATTATATAATAATATAATGAAACGATCTTCAAAAACTATGTTAGAGCCATTTGTTTGACCCCAATTTATTTATTAATATACACTCTTTTCATTCCAAAGAACAATCACAAAAAGCAAAATTTGAAAACGCAACCTAGACAATGTTTTTTAAGCCTCATTAATGTTCCATCCGTTTTAATAAGATGCTTAGATCTAGGTCTTGGAATGATTTTTTCCTTTCCAATTTCTTTAGATGGCTTTATTATCATTAAATGAACAATGTGGGAAATGAAAAAATGATTTTGAGTTTATGAAGGCCTAGATCTTGAAATTCACCAAATGAATAGTCTAAATTTGTTGTTGGAGGGGACTCATTTTGGCCATATCTAGGGTGCAAATTGAATTTTATTTTTTTGGGGATTGATTACTAGGATGAAATGAAGGTTTGTGCAAGTTTTGGGGTCATACTAATGTCGAAAACATACTAGAAGTGAGGTTCCATTATATTATAACGGCACAGTGACATGATATCATTCCCCTATATATATATATATATATTAAAAATTCTTCCCAACGCCTATAGGTGAAAATGAACAGTGATTTTGCCTATGCTCATCACCGTCCAAAGTTCATCGCACTGTTACGATTGTCGGTAGTGTTTCAATTTTCATTTTTTTTTCTTTAAATCAGAATGACTTGAAATTTGGAGCGTTTTTACATCTTAGTAAGGCACACTTGATAAAAATATGAAAAAAAATATTTCGCAAAATATAAATTGACCAAAATACCCCTGTAAATTTTCAGGGGTATTTTGGTCAATTTATATTTTACGAATTATATTTTTTATATTTTTATTAGATTCTCCTATTTTTGATGAACACATGCAATTTCAGATCATTCCGATTTGTAAAAAAAAAATGAAAATCGAAACACTGCCGGACATCTGTGACCGTGCGATGAACTTTGGACGGTGATGAGCATAGACGAAATAACTGTTCATTTTCGCCTATAGGCGTTGCGTAGTGTTTATATATATATATATAGATATATATATATATGGAAAAGATGCTGTTGTTAGCTCATTAGCTAACAACTACAGTGTTCGTATTTGAATTTTAATGTTTTTTTATAAATCGAAATCACTTGAAATTTTGAGCATCTATTATTTAAAAATAGGAAAATCTAATAAACATAACAAAAACATAATTCGCTAAAAATAAATTGACTAAAATACTCTTGAAATTTTTTAGAGGTATTTTGGTAAATTTATTTTTTACAAATTATTTTTTTAATTTTTTTATTTGGTGCACTATGATGAGAAGAATGGATACCTAAAATTTCATATAATTTGGATTTGTAGAAAAATATTAAAATTATATTATGAAATGAGGTCGTTGACATCAGATCGGTCCAGATTCAATCTAGACTTTTGGGTTAACACTGTAGCTGTTAGTTAGTATATATATACAACAAAGTGGCCTGACACCCTGACAGGTATCCTCCCCCCCTCTCTCTTTCTCTCTCTCCACAAAACTACACTCAAAAGTGGTTTGACACCTTGATAAGCTGTCCCCTCTCTCTCTGACGTCTCACCCACTCTGCATCGCTCTCTATGCCTCTCTCTGCACCTTTCTCTCTCTAGACTCTCTCTGATACTCTCTCTATCTTTCTCTCTCTGGCCTCTCTCTGCGACTCTGTCTCTATATCTATGCCTTGCTCTCTCTCTCTATATATGTCTGCAACTCTCTCTCTCTCTCTACTTGTGGATAGCTAGCTCTTCAAAATTAGAGACCCAAAAACCCGTACCCATCCACCCAAAAGAGGTTTTGAATTGCCATGAACCTAGCTTCATCTATCCTGAGGTGATTTTGGAGCAAGAGGTGCAAACCTTGTAGAGAAGCCTCTGCATTGATTAGAGACCTCTTCTTAGTCTTCCCATTTTCCTTCATCCAAGTTTTGCTTAATGAGCTGACCCCAACATGAAATACATTGGGTTTCTCTCTCTTCTTGAATTGCAGGTTATGGGGGTTCTTATGCCATGGTGAAGAAGCTGGGTTTTTTTCACACAGAGTGGTGTGATTAGATGGATGTGGAGTTAAGAAAGAGAAAGAGAAAAATTGGGTTGATGGGGATGTGGCGTTCTAGTGAGAGAGAGAAATTGGGTTGATGGGTTGTGGTGTTTTAGTGAGAGAGAGAAATTGGGTTGATGGTTTGTGGCATTTTAGTGAGAGAGGAGGAGAGAGAGGGAAATTGGGTTGATGGGTTGTAGTGTTTTAGTGAGAGAGAGAAATTGCGTTGATAGGTTGGTCACCTTTTAGATTGGTTTTGTGGTTGGATAGAGAGAAAGAGCAAAGGTGGCCTGTCAGCTTTAGAAAAATCAGCTGTGCGTATTTCACCACTATACGCTATGCTGCATAGCGTAGCTTTTCTATATACATAATATACTCGGAGTGGTAATAAGGAATATATATATATATATATATATATATATATATATATGAAAAAGGCTTCTGTGAGCCAATGGGTTCACAAGAAAAAATGAGCCCAATGGCCCAGATTGAATCTGGGCCGATCTAACGATCACGGATGCTCGATATTGTTTGAATTTTAATTTTTTTCTACAAATCCAAATCACTTAAAATTTTAGATATGTGTAGATAAAAAAAAAGATGAATATTCAAAAAATATTTTATATTAAAAAAATGACCAAAATACCCCCATAAAATTTTGGGGGTATTTTGATTATTTTTTATTTTACAGATTATTTGTTTTTATATTTTTATTAGATGAGGTTTAGTGAGAAGAATATTCACCTAAAATTTCAAGTAATTTAGATTTGTAGAAAAAAAAATTAAAATTCAAACACTCTCGGCCATCGGATCAGCCCAGATTCAATCTGGGCCATTGGGCTGATACTATTCTGTGAGCTAGTGTTGTGAGCTAGTGGGTTCACCCTAGCATCTCCCCTATATATATATATATATATATATATATATATATACTACTATATCTACTATAGTATAATA